TGAAAAACAAACTCTTCTACATCTTGGATAGCCTGTGAGTACATTTTCAGCAAATTTTTGGGAACTATTGCTTTAAGAAAATGAGACAATAATTAAACCAGGCACAAAACCTTAGTGTAAGACAGTTTATATGGGACACACACACTTACAAACACCCATTAGCATCTCCTGTGCAGTCCCTGAGGTCTTCTTGAGTTTCAAATATCTCAAATTCTTCTCCCCTGTGACCTCAGAAAGAAAATTGCCTCCTAAATCATTATCATGCCTGTTGCCATGCTGGGAAGGTCAGACTCAAGGGGAAATGCACAACATTTATATGAGACTACATCTGCATGACTGCCACCGTTTATCTTTCCCCAGCACCTTAGAACTTATCCTCACTGTTCATGCCATATGAGAAGCAGGGTGAGCCACAGGGCGGGACCATACAGTATTACCCCAAAGCTATTTGCAGAATTTGAAAAGAACATTTTGGGGATCCGGGTGACTGATGCAACCCACCTGTTACAGATCCCCTTTTAAATGGTCTTCTATAGTCAAGCCTGGCATTGATTCTTAGCTATCTTAGCTATCAACGATCACTGAATGCAACAAATAACTGAATAAATTAATGAAAATATTTGTAGATGGAAAGATGTTCATGGTCGTCACGCTGGTTTTTGGGTTTTGTTTCTTGTTTAGGTTTTCTGGTCTTTTATTTTGTTATTTTCTGTCTTGGTTCCTGATGTCATGTGTTTCCTTGCTCCTCATGTGATCATGTCATGTGCTACCCTTGTCCGTGTGTTATGTTCTGAATAGGTGCGTTCGACTTGAAGCACGGCTACAGACGGCGAACAACGAGAGTAGCCGCTTGCAGTCAGGGGCGGAGTTGAAAACGGACACGTCAAGCCAGACACTTTCTGCTCCCATTAGTGATGCTCACGCGGTGTTTGCATACTCTATCACAGATTAAGTGAATAAAATGCTATATTTGTCAAATACACCGATGTTTCAGAAACGTTTTCATGAGCAACAGAAACACTTTTTATATACTGCTTAATACAGCGCCATCTGTTCAAGAATAAAGTTCAACGTAAATATATACTATTTAAATACTAATAAAGTGGGGGTTTATATGCTTTCATGATAAACGCGACTCGATATAACATTGCAACTACAGTAAAAACAGATACTGTTCTAAAAACAGATTTATGAGCAGTATTGGATTTGAAGATGTTAGAAACACACGTCATTGTTGTCATGTGGTGAATTTGGCCAAT